GGAATAGGGGAACAGCGGAATAGCGACCGACCGACCGGAATACATTTTGAAACGTTCCCTAAGTTTAGTGCATGGATTATTTCATGATCGTAAATAGATGATATTATAAATTTTTGAATTGTGCTCAATGTATCATTTTTATAATCTTTTGCGGCTGATACCATACGATTATAATAAATATCGTTTCCCTCATATTGAAATATATATTGTTTTGTATCGTCAGCTATTAAATTTACCATTATTGCTGTAATGAGACGTTTTTCATAGTTGTAAATCTTTCTTACTGCATACTGATAAACAAAAATTTTGGAAGTACTATCATTATCTTTTTCACCAAGCACTGTTGATCCTCATAAATAATCTTCCCTACCATTGTTTACAATTGGTAATTCATTTAAACCACAATCAATATATTTGATAGCATCTAAAAGACGCCTTAGTTTAACGTCGGTGATATCAGAATCTTTGCCATCCTCCGTCGATTGTGCATTTGAATTAGCTTTTAAAGCACGAATAGTGTCTCCTGTGAGCCTTAACAGCAGATCGTTCTTTAATCCTCTCAGTATACAAACATGTACCGGTGCTTCATCATCAAAATTCATTGATTCAATTAGACACTAATTAAAAGATCCACTCACTGCTGCTCGGTGCCTGTCCGTGATATCTGTCTATCATGCCCATGACACATACCATGGTAATAGTATGATATGTATCTCCTTTATAAGGGCTTTTTATTACATTAGGTGTTCTGGCACTGCTTGTCAGGAAGTGCATAGGATTTTGGCTAGGATTCCCGTATTAACTTTATCTAAAAAAATTGTTTGTTATTCAGCAATCGCAAAATAGGATAACCGAACATCAAATGTAATTAAAAGTAGTGCCAAAAAATGTATTGAGAAAAATGAGAATAAGACTGTGAAAGTAAAGAAGGTTAGACATGTGCTATGGTGTAAAAAAACAAAACAAACTTCTAATTTAAGCCTACAATCGATCGAGAAAGAAACAGTGTATGTTTGCTTATAGAAGTTCGGATGAAATCAACAGCTACTAACATAAAAGAATGTCTCAATTGTTAGATGAAGAATAGACTAAGTTTGAGGTATTAGAAAATTGTCCACGTTTTTCAACTACAGGTTTATTTCTATTCACTTGGTGTGATAGAAACGCTCACTCAACAGTTGAAAGTGATATACAAGAAATACGTCATTTATTTTATGAGCTAAATGATAATGTTTTATTTTATATGAATAAAAATGATTGTTTAAAGATTATATCAATTCGTCAAATAATCAACAGAAAATGTTGTTCCTTATATCTGAACAATATTTACTTATTCAAGAAATGATAAAAGAAATATATCGGTTAAGACAAATTGATTTATTATTTATTGTATTAGAAATGATTCTGTAATAATGCTATCAATATTTGACGATGAATTTCGTGCTAAAATAACAGATATAACTAGTTCTCCTATTGATCTAATAGAATCATTGTAAGTAATAGGGCTGCTACATTACTATTACTTTTTATTACTATTACTCGGTAATAAGTAATAATTATTATTACTTTTATTACTTATTACTTTTCATCACTAATTGCTTTATTATTTATCATTTT